AGTTCGGTTACTCATCACTTAGTGTCATCTAGAGTGATCGGAAATGGTTTCCGAGACTTTTTTTCTTTGGATTGACAAGTTTCTTTATGGACCAAGTCATTTTCACATATTCATTTTTTTGGACACTATTCACTTTTCGTCTTTTTTTCGTCTGTCACTTTGTTGGCACAACCTCACTTTTCATGTTTGGAATTGAGTTTTGACTTCACGAGTTTTCATTTCAGTTGATTTCCTTAAAACGCGTAACTTTACTTTTGGAGAAAAGCTCGCCAGTTGTGTTTCTTTCTTCCGTAGGGGCGTGAATGAAATGATTCTTCATAAATATTGATGTTTCTTAGGTTATTTTTCATAAATATCTTTTGAAGATATTTTGATTAGGGGTTTTTAAGAAAATATCTTCATTCTCGGCAGTTTTGCAATTATCCCATTTTGTAACAGCCATTGTGTAATTAACGAAAGTTATTGCAAAATGTCTCGTTTTGAGCCTAAATCCTCGTACGAGATTCATTTTCACTTTTCATCAAATCGTGTACTCTTAGAGTTTCCTTCCGGTCGTTTTCCCCAGTTTTAGGGTTTTCGGCTCCGATTGCCGCTAAACTTGTTCAGGGCATATCTTTCTGCACGGGACTCGGTTTTCGACGCCGTTTCTTCCGTTATTCATTTTTTTTCATTTCAGTTCTTTTTTGTTCATGGTGATTTACCGTTTGAGGGCGTCTGCGTAAATTTCACTTTTCCGGACCCGGCGGGGCCCTTTCGGGGCACTTTTAGGGTTTTACTATAAATAGGGGTTATAAAATTAACAATATTTCATCCTTTTCTTCTCACACTGCTGCAGATTAGCTATGGCAACCCAAGGGGGCTGCCATCCTTCTTCTCTTAAATTAACCTTCTTCCCCTTTGTAAAATGTCGTAATACCTTAGTGTTTATCGTAGGCCTTGGTGAGGCGTTCCTTTCCCCCTTGTTAGAAGCCGATTCCCACCATTTTTGAGTTTGGGTTTTTAGTTCGGGTTTTGATTTTCATGGTGCCTCAAGGGTTAAAGTTGTTTCCCCTCGTAGTCCCTGACATAACCTAGAAGTATTGTCAAATTTAGAGCGATTTCCTTCCGGTGGCGATTTGAGATTTCATCTCAAAGTGAGGTAGGGGATGTCTTAGGTTTACATAATTGTTATATTGATTGTTTTATAAGCTTATACAACTTGTATTTTACTAAAATTTAATTTAATTATTTTCTTTGTATAATATTTAATTCTCATGGTTGTATATAGTTTGAAATTAAATTGTGACATGCTATTAAATTAAGCCTTGATATATTCATTAACATATATTAAATTGGGAGGATTTGAATAAGTATTGTAACTTTTATTTAATCTTTCACTTGTATGAAAATTTAATTCATATAGTTGTAACTAGTATGGAATCGACTTGTAATGTGATATTAAATTAGGCCTTGGTATGTTCTTTAGCATATGTGAATTAGAGAATATTCGTAGTTGTTTTAAAATCTAGAGAAAATTAATTAATTAGGTTGATTAATTTATTTTAAGTGTTCTACTTGCTTAATTGGATTTTTAACTTGATATTGTTGATGAGCTTGGCATGTTCTATCATATACATTAAATTGAGAATATTTGAATAGGTTTTGAGACTTTTATTTAACTATTTTCTTCGTATAGAATTTAATTCACATGGTTATACCTAACTTGGAATGAACTTACAATGTGATATTAAATTAGGTCTTAATATGTTCATTAACATATATGAAATTGAGAATATTTGAATGAGTGTAGAGAACTTTATTTAATTATTTTCTTGTATGAAGTTTAATTTACCTAGTTGTAATTTAGGTAGAAATATCTTGTAATGTGATATTAAATTAGGCTTTGCCATGACCATTGACTTATATTCATTTTAGAATATTTGGAGTTACTTTGAAATCTTGAGAATTTAGTTATTTAATTTAATTAAATTCCATTATATGCTTCCATTGAGGTTGTTATGTATTGAAGTTGTTTTCATGCTTAACTTGTGAATTTGAAACTTGTTGTATGATTACATTATAGTATTCCATGAGTAGAAGTTATAATTTAACTTGCTTATATACACATTATATATTTAACATGTCGTATGCCATTGTAGCTTGAAGACATAAGACGAATATTGTGTGTTTTACATGACTTGTTTGTGTATGGTAATTGACTAATATATTGCGTATATGTATTATACCTTGATGCACAACTTGTTGATTTTAGGAAAACTTACATGGACATACGACTAAGGTATGGCTCTAGTACGGGGGATGAGAGCTCCCCCTACAACATATAGTGCGCACTGGGTGGTTTCCTGAGGGCTACTAATCCAAAAAACCAATATACGGTTTTATTTCAGGTTTAGTGCGCACTAGGTAGAAATTAGGATGCTCCCTGAGTCTCACCTTTGACATAGACGTTAGGTGGCATGACCGTATGAATTGATTTTTATCAACTTAATAAATTTGTAAAATGTTAGGTCTATGCATGCTCATCTCTTTTGAGTAACTTTATGTTACTCACCCACGTAGTGGGGACATTTTTCAGGTACAGGAATCAAAATTCGAGAGATTCGCATTATGCTTGGGATGATTTGTAGACTTGAAGTTTATAATTCATGCAAATGTTAGTATGAAATGTTATTTGTAGCTTTATATGTCAAAACTTGTATATTTGGTTCTAAATATGTAATGTGTACGTAAATACACATTTTATGATGTATTTGACATGTATGGGATGAGGTCATGGGCCAATGATATTTATTTTGTATTCTAAGCACTTTTACTTTCATACATATTTTATTGAAAAATAGGAAAATGCCATGCTTTAACTCCATTACATTTGCATGGGTGGTGGGAAGTGCGCTTTAGCACTTCCATATGATCTCTTCATTTATGTAGGAAGTGTGGCCAAGGGCCAAACGGTCTTTTGAAACCATTTGATAATTTTTAATTTCAAGTTTCTCTTTTAAAAGTCATTTTAGGCAAATTTGAGGTTTAATAGGTGATATTTTGTATTTAGCAACCATTGAGGCCGTAAGCCATTGGAACGCGTGTAAATATGTATATTACGTTTGCGTGAATGCTCACCTTACACAAAATATCACATTTGTATGAAATGGATGCTTGTTAGTTTCAAGTTTTTCATTTTAAGCATTTTCTTTGCATTTTGAAGTTCGGATAGGTCGTATTTTGCATCGGGCATTTTTGGGAGCCGCGGACCATTCCCGTGCGCTTAAAATCACTATTTATGCTTGCGTGCATGATTGTTTTAGTACACAACACCATTTAGGGTCACATGAACACTTGGTGCAAAGTTGTTTTTTTTTTTTTTTTTATCGTTATTGACCTAAACTGATCTACGGGCATTTTGAGAATTTTCTTTGAAAAATAAATTCCAGCCTTGACATGATCACATAGAAAACGTGATTTTAGGGTGGTTTCTTCACAACATTTTTTCAGAAAAAACCGTCCCGGTCTCGAAAATCCCGTGTCAAATGTGATTTTCTGTGCACATATGCATTTTTTGAAAAAGTCTGTTATAAGGGCATTTTGGGGATTTCATGTCAAAAATAAAATTTTCTTTCGACATGGTCAACTTGGAAAAATTATTTTGAAGGGGGTTTCTTTTTCGTACTTTCAAAAAAAAAGTTGTTTAGTGCCTCAAAACGGCACACGAATTTCAGCATTTTGCCCAGGTCATTATTCACTACTGTCAAAACACTGTTCATTGCTGTCAAAACACTATTCACGACCGCGGCGACGTCAGAACTTTGTTTTGACTTTTCTCTTCCATTTGGACTTCGAATCAAGTGATTATTGAGTCTAACTTTATTAATTTTTCGCTGTCTTTCCAATGGTGTACTCGGTAGCACCCAGATCTTGCTGAAAATTACTATTTTGCCATTGGGGCTAAGGTTTTCTTTTTAAATTGCTTCCGCTATGCTTTCTTATGAGTTTCGTGACTTTATGGAAAGTCACTGATGTGTCTCGGGAATGATGTACATTTCCAGATACGTTGCTTCCATATAAAAGACTATTTTGCCCTTGGAGGCTTTTTTTGGTCTTTTTCTGATCTTTTATTCCACGTCGGTTCTCGTGGAGTTTCGTGATCTCATGGAAGGTCACTTTGGCATCCTAGGGATGTTGTATATCCCTAGAGACCTTGTTTCTGTTTTTACTTTCGCATTTCGGATCAGTTATCGGGTCAAACTTCGGTTCAAACCAGGGCTATCACACCACCACCATCACCGCTTTCCACCACCACCACCACCACCACCACTGCCACTGTCTTCCACCACTGCCACCACCACCATCGTCACCACCTTCCACCACCACCATCGCCACCGCCTTTCACCACCACCGCCGCCAATGCCTTCCGCCACTGCTACCACCTTCCACCATCGCCACCATCCACCATCGTCACCTACACCGTTATCTCCTTTCACTACCACACCACCGCCACTGCCTTCCACCACTACCGCTACCACCTTCCACCATTGCCACCACCGCCGCAGCCTTCTAATACAGCCACTACACTACTGCCACAACCTTTCATCACTACTATAGTCACCACCATTCACCACCGCTGCTGCCACCATTTATTTTTAAAAAAATTATAAAAGAATGTCATTTTGTTAATTTAATTTATTTATTACTAATAGGGATATTTTGGAGAACTCAATTTGAAATTTATTCCATTTTAAATTTTAAATTGGTGCAACCAAATACTAAAATAGTTATTATCATTCCATTCTTACACATTTCATATTTACAACCAAACAATAGAATAAGAATGTCCATTCCATTTCATTCTTATTTTCATTCTATTTTTACTTCCATTCCATTTCTGCACACTAAAAACAAAATTACTCTTCTGGTCTTCCTCTCCAATTCCCTACATTGGACACGTGCTAATGATTCTTTCCTTTTTCTTTTCCTTTCTTTTTTTATTCCAATTCCAATGGTCCAAACGCAATCAATCACAAATAATACACATTTGCTTGATTATTATAGTTCCGCCGTTAGGTTAGGCGTAGTAAGAAAGCAATGGCTGAGCAGCTAAAAGAACAAGAGCACCTGGATGTCCTCACCAAGACGGGACAGAAGTCTGGCATCTCCAAACCCAGGCTAGTTCCTCTCTCTCTCTCCTTTCCGAGTCCTCCGTTTGGTTGCTGAGAAAACAGCGAAAAGAAAATAAATTTAGATTACGTCTTAGACCCTGTGCTTCCTATTGTTTCAGTTCGAGAGCAATCATTCAGACCTCAACCCTTTTTTATGTTATGGAACACGTGGTTGTATTAGGCCTTTTATTATATGGTTGCCCAGTGACGAATACCTAATATCGACTTCTTGATTTCACAAATTTTCTCAGCTTCAAAACAGAGTGAAATGCAGATGTATCAATCAGTGCATCATCTGTAGTTTATTCATTTGATAAAATTGATTCTCCTTCTGGATTACGTTGGTGGTTTTAACTGTTTAGTTTCTATACTTATAGCCTGTATTTGGTTGCCTAGGAAATAAGGTAATAGGATGATTTTGAATATTAATATTCATATTGTTTTCATTTTTTTCAAGCGTCAACTCAACTATGTAACTGTATCTTCTGAATTGTTTGAGTTATTTATTTATTTATTATTATTTTTTTGGTCTCCACAAATAATCAGGGAGAAAAAATCTCTATATCTATAAACACATATTTTTTATTTACAATTCTCTAAGGGTTTTCTAAATTTAATGAAATTATGGATTCTATAATAAAATAAACACTTCATTATTGTGAAAAGAACTGCCCTTGTCTGATAAGAGTTCATGATAAATGCTTCATAGAAGATGCAAGTGAATATGAAAATGGTTGTAACAAGAAGATTTAGATTAGGCAGTAAAAAGAAAGATGAGTATTTGTTTACGGATCACTTGGGCTAGAATCGAAACAATTTTGGCACTTGTAGTGAGATTCATTTTTTTTACAAACAAAGGAAATTCTACAAACAAGTGTGACAGTTGCAGTGAGATTTGTTTTTTAACAAACAAAAGAAATTCTCACTGCTGGCAGCTTGAATAGAAATGGATTTTGTTTATGCACCACCTGAGCTGATTGTGCAATATCAAAAGTAATGAACTTTTATGCCTTTCCATGAGAGACCTGGAACATGATCTCCATACGGAACCTTATGGAATGAACTCACCCAAAACATGCTGCTTCTAAAAGGCATTCGGTGGCAAAGCGTCCTTCATGCCACTAACAACAAAGGTAACATACAACATCTCAAAAGAATCATCTACAAACTCCAATTGGTAATTATGAAGAGCCCCGTTAAAACTAGGCTAGAGTATGTAACTTTTAGTTTGGTTTAGAAAATTTCAAAAGTTTGTTAGTGTTAGTTACTTATCAGGGTCTAAGAAGGAATTCATGCTACATTCAAGGGTAATCTTCGTCTACAAGGACATAAAGGTAAATTAACACAGTGATGCACTTAACTAATTAGGGTTCGATGTGTACATAATTTTAATTTGATTGTTTTTTTCCTGGCAAAGATAAAAGATTTTAGTAAAAATAAACATCACAATACAAGGCTATCATGTTGGACCTCTGACAATAGTTTTAATTTGGTTTGATTCCCTATATCTTTTGTATTATGCATCCAAAAAGTTTTGAAAACTTCATTATTGATTGTTTTTCTTAATATTGAATTGCAATAGACTTTGATCTATCGATGGATCAATCGAGGTCCTTTGGAGTATTGTCGATCGATTACAGTGTATCTTGATCAATCGAGCTATTCGGAAAGCAATTTCCAACTTGGTTTTAAACTCTACTTCCCCTAATCTCTCTCTACGACTCTGTTGCCTATATATACATATTATGTGACTTATAGAATGCACTATTAATTTTCTTTTGCATTTATCATACTTAGTTTTGGTGTGTGTGAATTCACATCTTTTGCCCCATACTTCAACGAAGCGCTCAACATAATCATTCCATCCACTATTTTAGATTAAAGCCTGGACGACTAGTGGCTAAGAGAAAAATCACTAGAGAAGAAGATTTGTGAAGAGCGTATTGTCATGGCCTAGAGTTTTTCAGTGACACCCGTGCAACACTAAGGAGTAGTACCTCCTCACGTCAAGATCTTGGTCAGCCTAACTCTTGCACTCGCTCGTGCCAGCACACTCCCACTCCTGCATGTCACTTGTGTTGTAGTGTCTCATGCCCCTCTATTCGGCTTGCACACTCATACACACTTAGGCACTTGGTTAACAAGAGAGAATACTTCCAACATCTAGGACCAAAGCCCATCCTTTCCAGCATATACATCAAGAACTTCCAACAATCATGATCATGAGCCTTCTCGATATCAAGCTTGCAAATAATCCCTGGAATACCGCTTCTAGCTTTGGCTTTTAGACACTCACTAGCTACCAACACAGAATCCAAAATTTGACGGCCGCCAATAAAGGCATTCTGGGACTCCGAAATCACCCCATCTAGAACTCTTCTCAAACGGAGGGCTAAAACTTTAGCAAGGATTTTGTACATTGCACCCACCAGATTTTAAAGTACTTAGCCTCGATAGCACCGCCCTTCTTTGGGATAAGGGTAATGAAAGAATCATTGAGACTCTTCTAAAAGTGCCCATCAGAATGAAAAGATTCAAAGCTCCTAAAACCTCGGGCTTCACCACCTCCCATTTATGTTGGAAGAAAGACCATCTGGGCCTGGGGTTTTATCACCATCACAGCTCCTCAGGGACTCTAACACCTCCTCCTCCCCAAATGGCCGGTTAAACCAATCCCTATTCTCGATAGAGATCCCTGAAAACTCTAGCCCATCTAGCAACGGCCTCCAACTAGCAGTTTCCGTGAATAGCTTCTGATAAAACTCCACAAAGCTAGTCCTGATATCCTCTTCCCTTGACACCATGATCCCATCAAAACAAATCCTCCCAATATGGTTAACTCTTCTATTTGCATTCGCTAGACGATGAAAGAACTTCGTATTTTGATTATACTGGAATTTGAAACAAAATTCCCAAACGAAAATGCGAGAACATCGAGATCCAATGAAAGCCAACAAAGCAATTACACACAAACACAATATTTAACTTGGTTCGACTAAACTGGCCTATATCCACGGATGAGAGTGATTCCACTGTGATTCCTAGAGATATTACAACAATATAGTACCAACACCATGTACCACTCTATGAGCTTATCTTCTCGCTACTGGTGCCACCAGCGTTTTTCCTACTCTACCAACCCATAAATGAACCAATACAAAGTCCTCCTTGGTGCTCACATGTCGCCTGCGTGGCGTAGCCTCCCTGCACAATTAAGCGGGGTGTGACATTCTTCCCCATCCAATTCCTGTGATGCCCTCGTCGCAATCTCAATGCTCGTCCTGCAAGCTCATCTGGAACCCTTCCACGTGACGAGTTACTCCTACCGCCTGTCTTCTCTGCATGTGACCCATCTCTGAGCTTTCTTTCTCGCACGGGCGCTTGCTACTCGCAATGTCCATTGGCGCCCAATAACAATTGCCTTCGATGCGTAGCTTGGCTGCTTCTACTTGTCACGACTCCTTGTGATGTTGGCTTTGCTATTCTTCTACGCATCCTGACTTAGCAGAAGTGGGAGAAGAGATAAATATCTCACACAGGGCAAAAGCTCAAACAGATTATAAAACTGATATATTGTTAATTTCATTCAAGCTGCCGCAACAATAGAATGGTGAGCCTTATTTATAGCCTAATATGAACTTGTTCACCAAGTAAAGAATGCAACTTGCATTCACTTTCATAATTGCGGACCCCACTTTCTCACTTGTCACCTTACTAAGTAAAAGAATGCAACTTGCACTTGCTTTCATAATGATGCTCTCACATGTCAGTGATGTCACCTCCTTGCTCACTAAGTAAAAGAATGCAACTTTCACTCACTTTCATAATGATGCTTTCACGTCTCACCTCCTTGCTCACTAAGTTAAAGAATGAAACTTGCACCTTTTTGTTTACCCATATATATATATATATATATATATATATATATTACTGTATATTAAATCATGGATGTCCTGCATCATATCACATCCTCTACTGGCAAGGCGTACCACTCTTCTGTTGACTCCATGAAGGTCAAGGTCGTCTGCATGCCCTGCATGACTCTCGTGGACTCCCCTACTTGTTTCCCAGCGCACTCCATGATTAATTCCACGCTCATGGTCTTCTCATCTTTAGTGTTGCCCACAAACTCCTCGGTGGGCGTCAAGGACTCTTCCTTGCACAACACGGCCTTGCCTACCATGCCTACTCCCATGCTACCATCCGCTCGTCACTCCCGCACATCAGCCTCACTTACAGGAAGCTCCTCCTCCTCAAGCTTGCAGATGGGTGGCAAGCTCTCCTCCTTTCTTGGCATGGTCTCATCAACATGCCTTCACCCACTTGGCCCTCCTCTTGAGGCTCTCTTGTGCACTCTTGCACAACGGGTACAAACTCTAGAGCCTCCTCCTCCTTGGGCGCTAGTAGTTTGGCCATCACATAGGACACTCTCGCACATTGTGTGGCCCCTCACATAGAAGAGAACTTCACTGCCGGGACTTCTGCTCTACCAGCTCTAATCTCTCCATCTATATTATTGTCGCATAGAAGAAAACTCAATTCACGGTGCCCCTGCTCCCGCTGTTCCTGCAATCTCTCTAGCTATGAGTGCTGTCACATACAAGGCAACGCCACTCAACCTGCTCCTCAACCACTAGCTCGACATGGGGAATCCTTTTTTTTTTTTTTTTTTGGATAAATAAGATTGTATTACAAAAACAAAAGTGTTCAAAAGGGAAACACGTCCCTTGCAGGCAACAGAAGGCCAAATAGGGCCTCTAAATTCTCAAAGAGTCTAAAAAGTCAACTATCTCCTCCATGGATTTACAATTTCTCCCTAGAACCTAACAAAAAAGAGTGCTAATAATAGAGAACTTCTGCACAACAATAGGATTTTCCTTTCCATAAAAGGATCTCCTATTTCTTTCGAGCCATAAACACCGCCAAACGCATAAAGGTGCAACCTTCCAGAAATCACGGACTTGGGCCCTCACTATACACCCTCTCTATGCCTCCACCAAGTCTCT